TGACCGCCGGCAGTCTTGGCATTGATTCCTCGCGGGAAACCGAGGCGTTCGTAGGATGACGAGGCGAGTGTCGCTGAGTCGGCGGGTCCGCGGCTCTTTCACGCCAAAACCATTTCGCCCGATGCCCCCGAGCACCCCTCAGCGCGCCGGGTTCGGCCTAGGTCCGCCGGCGTCGAATTCGGCCCGAGCCGGCGAAAGTTGGGCTTCTGGGGACGCGGCTGGGTCATTTTTTGTGCACCGACGCGAAAAAATCGTCTGGGGAGGGCGTGTTGGGGGCTCGGCTGAAGATGCTCTTAGCACGACGACTGCCCGACTGTCTACTACAACAAGTTGTGTCCGACTCCGATGATGGAGGGGCGATGATGGCAGCGCGCCTTCGGCTCGCTTCGGTGCTTGTAGTCATCGCTAGATGGTCTACGGATCTGAATCTGCCATAATTGAAGATGAATAGATTGAAAATTTTTCTGAAAAAAAAGAAAGATGATGCGCCACCACACGACCTACATGCACACGGTCAGCTCTAGCCTGGCGAAATATTAGGTAAATAAAAATAGAAAAAACAAGAACAAAAACTAAATCATGTAATAAATATTCATGGTGTCAAAAAAAGATGATTTCTTCATTTCTATAGGACCTTGAAGACATTTCAAACAGTGTGCAAAGCAGTTCATTTTTAGTTTGTCTGCAATGACTTACAAAACTGAAACTGAACGAAGGGAGTGATAAATTATTCAAGTCGAATCAAAGCTTAGGGCATCTCCAGCCGCGCCCTCCAGGAAGGCCTCCCCAGACGTTTTTTTTTGCGCCGGCGCCGAAAAAATGGCCCAGTCGCGTTCCAAGGAGCCCGATTTTCGCCGGCCTGGGCCAAAAACAGCTCCGGCGGACCCAGGCCGAACCCGGCGCGTTGGGGGGCGCCCGGCGGCGAACTGTTTTGGCGCGAAAAAGCCGCGGGCCAGCCGCGTCAGGGACACGGCGGCTCGTCTTCCCCCCAACTGCCTCGGTTCCCGCGGGGAATCAATGGCAAGGCTGCCGCCGGGTACACACGGGCGCTGAGCGGCTATAAAAGCCGGCGATTCTCGTCGGTGCCCACACCAGACTCGCCCCTCGCCGCCGCCCAGTCCCTCTCTCTCCGTCTCCGTCTTCCTCTCCCGAGCGCCACCGGCAGCCCCTCTCTCTCCCTCTCTACCACCGCTGAGCTCATCGCCATGGCAGAGCGCTTCCCCGGAGACGAGGCGGCGGCGAACGGCTTCGGCCGCCGTTTGCTCCGCGAACAAGAGTCCTGGCTCCTGTTCCAGGCGAACATCCCGGCGCCGCCGGACATGCGCGCCGGGCCAACGGGGTGGCGGCTCAGCGACGGGGGAGTGCCCGTTCCCCCGTTGCCGTGGCGAAGCCCAGGTACTTCGCCGAGGAGGTCGAGGTCGCGCGCGCCTCCCTGACCGACGACGAGCGCTCCCTCCCCCAGTACGCCGCCGGCAATCACGCGGCTTGGGCGGCGTACTTCCAGCGCCGCCAGCAGCAGCGCCTGGCCTCCACCAACGGCGCGCCGGTGGTCGGCGGCGTGAAGAACAGCGAGGGGCGCCACCTGTGGTGGGGCGTCCCTGGCCGCACGCTGGATGGCGTGCTGGCGCACCTCGACAGCGGCAACAACCCGCCGTTGACCTATCCTGCGACGGGGGCCGCCCCGTCGCAACACCGACGCGCATGGGCGCCAAGGAGGTTCGCCTCCTCCTCGTCTTCCTCCTCTCGCTCATCTTCCCACTCCTCCGATTCTTCGGCGCTTCTCGGCGTCAAGGCCGAGCCCGCGGCGGAGACGCCAATCGGTGTGCGCACTCGCAGCATCGGCATCGTCATCAACGAGGGCGCCCGGCGCGCCTCCTCCTCGTCGGCTCCTCCGCGCTTCGTCAAGCCGAAGATGGAGCTGGGGCTGGCGCCGGTGAAGACGGAGCCGGGGCTGGCGCCGGCGAAGGCGGAGTTCGACGACGACGACGCGGCCCTAAAATGGGCGCGCCAGGACTCCATTGCGATGGAGAAGGCGCACCGGGAGAAGGAGAAGGAGCGCCAGCGCGTCGCCCTGCGCCGCTTCGAGGAGCGCCGACGCGGCCGCGATGAAGACGGGGTCGTCGTCTTATGCGACAGCGACGACGACGCGCCGCCGCCAGTCCGCCATGGCGACGCCGGGCAGGGGTCCAGCAGGGGCGCCCGCGTCAAGGAGGAGAAGGCCGACGACGATGATGGCGGCGACGGCGACAACGACTTCAGCCCCTTTCTTGTTTAGATTAGGTTAATGTAATGAAAATGCACGAATTTCACCGAAATTTGCCATGTTTGGCCGAAATTTAACTAGTTTTTATCATAACTTCGCCGAACGGTCTTTTTTTTCAATACGCGCCTGGGGGCGGCCCTGGGGGCCGACGGCTGGGGTCCGACTCACCCCAGGGCCATTTTTTGCGCCGACTCACTCCCAGACGGCGCTTTTAGACGTCCCCTGGGGGGGCCAATGGCTGGAGATGCTCTTAGCTGCTCACCTTATACGTGAGCTAATAATTTTTTTGACAGCTAAAAGAAGAAAAGCAAAAAAAAAAAGGCAGAAAAGAAAGAGGAAGGTGGCGTAGTGCAGCCGTGGTGGTGGGCGACGACGTCTCTGATTGATCAGAAGCCAGCCAAAATTCCACTCCAGATTCCCACCATCGGCCCGCCGACCAACTCCATGGCCGCCGCCGGCGACGACGCGCCCGCGGGGCTCTTCTCCGGCGTTTGGTCCCGCCTCCACGCCGCGGCCTCTGTCTGGCGTCGCCGGGGCCAGGCCTCCCGCGACGGTGATGGGGGGGAGGAGGAGTCCACCGTGCGGTCGCGCCTTGCGAGGCGGGCCGCGGCGGCGCGGCGGGTCGGACGGAAGCTCGCCTTCGTCTCCTTCAACCTCGAGGTGAGCTAGCTCTTGCTCTGGCTCTCTCCCAAGAGAGTTTGGTTCAGGTGGGACGGAGGCAGGGGGGCGCTTCAGGTGGTTGCTTGTATGCGCAAGCGAAATCAAGCGGTCGTTGCTGCCCGCGATCACGGATGAGTCCTTACTTCTTACTTTTGGCTGGAGAAATCCAGCAGTACCTACCGCTGAAATTTGCTGGAGCAATTCGTCTCCAGTTCTTTGGACAAATTAAACTAGAAACCAGAGTTATTCAGTGATCATTAATTCAGTATTCATCGGACAACTGGACTGCACAGTCTGTGATGTTCTTGCTTGTTTCAAACTTTTAACTACTCCATGTTCAGAAACAATTTACACCTGTTCAACTAGAATGGACAATCTGTTCTGTTTTTGTTATTTCAGAAACAATTTATGCATGTTTGCCTGTTTGTGACAGTGATAATAGGCTGCGGTATTTTACATGTTCGCTGTTTCGGCGCTTGGCTTCATACTGATTGTTCATTTGTCTTTTGCATTGAGCAGGTGCTGGTATTCATCTACGCGTTCTGGAGGGCGAGGAGACGGAGTCTGACCTGGAGGCAGCCCATCCAGGTGCTGCCGGTGCTTGCGGTCCCTGCTCTCGCCACGCTCATATACGCCGCCTTCGTCCGCTTCACCAGAATGCGTAATAATTTTCGCTTCCTGTTTCATATCTGGATTTCGACATTCGCTCGTGCATGCACCCAAAACATATGAATGATGCTGCTAGTTCTAAAGCAGTTGTCCACTCCTCCCTGGTCACAAATCACCCAATGTGGAGTTATAAACTTGTTTTTTTTTAAGTCCGAGTAGCAAAATCTTCCCAAACCGCTAAAATTGAGTGCCTTGTATGTTCTGATAATGCGTTCGTGACAAGTATCTCCTGAGTGACCCCAGCTAATCTTGCTCTGCAGTTGACCTAAAGGACAAAAGAACACTTGAAAGACTTCAAGAGGACAAGCCGCAAACTGAGTGTGAACCAAGGGATTCAGTTGACCTCAAGGACAAGGAAACGCTTGAAAGACTTCAAGAGGACAAGCAGCGAACTGAGTGTGAACCAGGGGAGTTTGACCGGGACAACCAAAACAATGTCCAGGTCTGTCTGTTTGTTTCAACCTAATGTTCTGCAGATAGTTTTAATCCACCACTGCCTTTTAGTCCTGTTCTTCTGACATCGTCCTTCTAGTTAACATAATTGGTGTTTGTTTGCTGGTGCAGAACTGTGATGATGTGGACGATGCTAGTAATTCTCTGGTTGGAACTGATTCAGCAGCACAAACTGCTAAGCTTATGAAACATCGCCAGTCGAGCATTAAGCATAGAGATGATGATGGAGCAGATATGGCTTGGGGTCATAGCAAGGATTTCCAATCAGCACCCTCAGGTGGACTAAGGATGAGAAGATTGTCAAGTGCAAAAACATACATGACCAGCAGCAGGTTTATAGAAAGAAGTGTGGAGAAGACACAGGAAATGCCATCTGTCTCTGCACATTTAGATCAGCATGTCCATGTCCCTATTTCCACTGAAGATACTATTTCGTATCATTTTGATGATTGCCGCAGCATGCATGCTCAACCTGCAGATACCCCTCAAGAATTGTCTGAAGGAGATGGTGACAAAGAAGGGTTTGATGGATTATGGGACATTGTGGAAACTCGTTCCAATTCCAGCAAGGAGAATCCCATATCTCCAGTTGGTTCTCATAATAATTTTTATGACGGAGACGATTCACGCTCCCCTGCATCTTCACCAGACGACTTTGTTGCTCATAATAGCTTAAATGACTTCAGCCCTGACCTGTCTGGTCTGGTACTACCTGCATCAGAAACCTTGAAAATGTTGCCTCCCGAAGGTGTCAGGGAGGAAGCATTGCTTGATCCACACAAGTCAGAAGTGTTGCATATGTATTCTTTGACTCCAAAGGAGAGCCCTACTCCCTATGCAGTCAATGACAAGGAACTGCCAATCACTCCTGACATGGGGACCTATTCAGAGTTGCTTGGCGAGGGAGTCGAGGAGACAGAATCGTCCATATTCCATACACCAGAGGACAGTACGCCATCCTTCATCTCAGAGGAGGTTTTACTGTGTCCACCTGCAGTCAGTAATATCGAACATTGCTTGGGGACTCCAGAGTTCTCTTTGTGCGGTCAAGAGACTGAAAAAATTGAAGTTGTTGGAAGTGTCAGCTTTACTAATGACAGTCCTGAGTTAAGCTTCTTATCCTCTCCAGAATTAGTTGTGGAGAGTGCTGAGGATGCCATTGAGAAAGAATTATGTGAGTTAAACTCAAAGGAGGAGAATACTATGCTCATCAGTATGGAGGAGGAACCTTTGCAAGGTCCACTTATAGTCAGTACTGGTACTAGTGAACAATGCCTGGAAACTTCAGATGCCTCTTTATGCATTCAAGATACCAAGGCGGGGGAAGTTTCTGGAATTATAAACTTTGTTACAGCCACTCCTGAATTAATGTATACAGCGTCTCCGGAGTTACTTGCAGAAGGTGATGAGGACTTGAAGGAGGATAAAACGTCTGATTTGCATTTACCGGAGCAGAATGGCCTACCTTTAAACATTGAGAAAGAACCTATTCTGGATTCACTTGTAGCTGATACTGCTGAGGATGTCGAGAGAACAGAAGTTCATGATGTTGTCCAGGAAGGTTCTTTTGAATCAGAAGACGAGGAAACATTTAATAATCCAAATCTTGTTGTCACTTCTTCAATTGATGATAGTAAAAATCAAAATTTGATAAGTGACTCAATGCTTGTTCAATTTATTCCAAACACCGACATAAATGAAGCTCTTGAAGGTGGCTGGGAAGCAGTTTCTGAACCGCTACATCAAGGCCCTCGCCATTCTGAAGGAATGTTCTTATCTCCCGGGGAGATCAATAATGACGAAGTCTATTCTTTGACTCCAATGGAGAGCCCTACATTGTATGCAGTCAATGACAAGGAGCTGCCAATCACTCCTGACATGGAGAGCTATCCAGAGTTCTTTGGCGAGGGAATTGAAGAGATAGTATCGTCCAAGTTCCATATGCCAGAGGAGAGTACGACGCCCTTCAATTTGGAGGAGGTTTTACCGTGCTCGCTTGCAGTCAGTAATATAGAAAATTGCCCCGGGGCTCCAGAGTTCTCTGTATCTGGTGAAGAAGAGACTGATAAAATGGAAGTTGCTGGAAGTGTCAGCTTTATCAATGTCAGTCCTGAGTTGAGCTTCTTATCTTCTCCAGAGTTGGTTGTGGAGAGTGCTGAGGATGCCACCGAGAAAGAATTATGTGAATTAGATACAAAGGAGGACAATGCTATACTCATCAACATGGAGGAGGAAGCTTTACAAGATCCGCTTATGGTCAGTACCAGTACTGTTGAACAATGCTTGGAAACTTCAGATGTCTCTTTACGCATTCAAGATGCCAATCCTAAATCGATGTACCCACCATCTCCAGAGGTACTTGGAGAATATAATGAAGAATTCAAGGAGGATCAAACGTCTGACTCGCACATACTGGAGGAGAATGGCCTACCTTTTAATTTTGAAAAGGAACCTATTCTGGATTCACCTGTAGCTGATACTGCTGAGGGCGTCGAGATAACAGGGGTTCATTATGTTGTCAAGGAAGGTTTTTCTGAGTCAGAAGGCGAGGAAGCATTTAACTATCAAAAGCTTGCTGTCACAGATTCGGAGGATGATAGTGACACTCAAAATTTGATTATTGATTCAATGCCAGTGAAATTCATTCGAAACAGCGACCTAAATGAAGTTCTTGAAGGTGGCCAGGAAGCATTTTCTCAGCCACTATGCCAAAGCACTCGCCATTCTGAAGGAATGTTCTTATCTTCAGCGGAGATCAATAATGATGAAGTCTATTCAAGCAACTCAAATTCATATGCCAATGTGGTGGAAGATGCTGCACCCTCTGAAGGACTTTCTAAGTTTGAAGATGAAATGTCTATTGCTTCTTTAGATACTCCCATCTGCCTGGATGAGGTTAAAAGTGCAGCTATTGTTGACATTGATATAGTCAGTCCTAAACTGAGCCTTCAACCAGAGCTGCATGATGTGGGAGTTGAGGAGAATGAATTTTCCAAGTTCCATGTACCAGAGGAAATCAGAACACCCTTCAATTTGGAGGAGCAAGTTTTGCTATCCCCAGTTGCGGTCAATAATACTGAATACTGCAGGGAGACTCAGGAGTTCTCTTTGTACAATCAAGAGAATGAGGAAAGGGAAGTTGTTGAAAGTGTCAGCTATATTAAGGTCAGTCCTGAGTCGAGCCTCTTATCCTCTCCAGAGTTTGTTGGGGAGGGTGGTGAGGATGCTAGGGAGAAAGAAGCACGCGAATTAAACACAAATGAGGAGAATGAGACACTCATCAATTTGGAGGAGGAACCTTTACAAGCTGTGCCTGTGGTCAGTACTACTGATCAGTGCTTGGAAACATCAGAGTTTTCTTTATCTAGTGAAGTTGCCAAGACAATGGATGTTCCAGAGATTGTTAGCTTTGTTACAGTCAGTCCTGAATTAAACTACTCTGCATCTTCAGAGTTACTATCAGAGGGGGACGGGGACTTACACGAGGATGAAACGTCTGACTTGCACTTAAAGGAGCAGAAGGCCCTACCTTTTAATTTGGAGGAGCCTTTTCTGGATCCACTTGTAGTTGATACTGCTGAAGATGCGTTGGCTACATCAGAACTTTTGATATGCAGTGAAGAGGTCAAGATGACCGAAGTTCATGGAGTCGTCGAGGAAGTTTTCTCTGAATCAGAAGACGAGGCAGCATGTGACCATCCAAACCTTGTTCTCGCCTCTCCAGATGATGACAGTACCGCTCAAAATTTGACAAGTGATTCAATATCTGCTCAGGTCATTCCGGACACCAGTGTAAAGGAAGCTTCTCAAGCTGGTCAGGAAGCATTGCCTGAGCCACCACATGAAAGCATTTGCCATTCTGAAGGAACATTCCTATCTTCAGGTGAGGTCAATCATGATAAAGTGACAGTTGAAGCACCATTTGCTGGTGAGGGAGGACTTTCTATGCCTGAAGATGAAATAGCTTTGACTTCTGTAGAGACTTCCATCTTGCTTGATGAGGTTAGAACTGCAGAAAATTTGGCAGCCAACTCTGAACCTTCTCAGTCCATCCCAGACATCAACGGATTTCAATCTCTTCACGACCAGGAACAAGCTCCATCTGAAACACTGCAGGACACTAATTTTCTTCTCGAGGGAAGCCACACATCTTCAGATGAGGGTATAAACTCTGAAATATTTTCGCTGTATTCCAGGTCATCTTCATGTGTTTCAGAGATCAACATGCTGGAATCTCTCGATTATTAGACATTACAGCTATATATATGTGTGTGTTCATCGAATCTGTACTGTCACTTCATTGGAGAAAATGAAACTGGATCTTTATTAGCTGACGCCTCTTATTCTTCAGTTCTGCTCAAGGATAAGGAACCAAAAGACAGTAAATCTGAGGTCATGAAAGAGACTGTCGAAGATTTGGATGACGACCATGAGGTGAGTAGCACTCCCTCAGATGCTGCTTTGAACTTGTATCTTCTTTATTGAGGTGAGTTGTATGATTTTTTTTAATCATGATTGAACAAGGTAACTGAACTCTGCTTACTGGTTTGATATAATTTCTGCAGAGGAAACCAGTAGTCACAATCAGTCATAGCACTGGGAGCAGTATTGTATCTGAACTAGCTGACTTGCAGTACACCCAGTCAGTTGATGATGATACTGAAACTCTTAGTGCTCCTCTACCTTCATCTGTTGCTACAGATATTTTGAAGCAGACCAAATGATAAGGCTGCATGTGTTTCAGTAGAATGGTCAACTACCGAGTAACCTCACAAGAGCATCTAAAAGCTTGCGACTGGAGCTGGTTCTTTTTCTTTTGTGTAAAGCTTCTAATACTGGAGATTGGAGATTGTTCTTTATTAGTTTCGTGTGCTCAGAGGACGAGGGAAAGAAGTCCAATACATGGAGTTTTTGTACAAAGTAATACGGGAGTTCTCAAAATCATCATCTTGAGGTGAAAAACAGGAATCGCCTCTGGATTGAGTTGCTTGCGCTTGGAGTGGAAATGTCCTAATTCTTGCCTTTTGCCGTCAAGAATCGAGGATTTGATGAAAGATAAGGCTCTTTCATAGTTTTCTCTCTCTTTGTTTTTTAGTTTGGATTGAAGTTGTATAGCTCTGTATATCTGGGTAAATATACTGCCATCAGTAGCCCATGTATAATATGTCATAGTGTGATATTCTTTAGGCAGTGGTACTTTGCATGAGTGCCTCATTTGGTGCCTTTTTTTGTATGAGTTGAAGGGTATTAAAGCATTGGAATTTTACAACAGAAGTTTCTGTTTTGATTTCGGTAATGAGTAAAAGCGAGTGATTCTGCTAGTGCACTTCAAGTTGGTACATCATATATCTTGTCAAATATTTTCCCTAGTTTTTTCATATACTCATATGCATTCCAATTTTATTTCTTCAATAATTATTGCTATTTTTTGTGGTTTATGAATTACCGAGGCTTTCATTATAAATTTGTCCTGCAGCTATTGTACATAACTATTGTGTTGCAGTTCTTTATCAGTCAAACAATGGCTCTCTGTGAAGACCATCGCATCCATGTCCTGAGACAACCCCATCGGAGAGATACTACATTTGGTAACTCAAAATTGTTGCATCTCATGTTACAAGATGTGTGATCCTATCTTGTTTCTGATAAGATCTAGTACTAGTAAACTATAGTTCGGTTCAAACTAGTTTGTCTACTTGTCATATATATATGAAATTTGGGTGTATTTCTGTGATTTGTGTGATTGATAGGATATCCTGAGAACTGTCAGCCTGTCACCACTCGCTGTAGATGAACCGTGTTTAATGAGGCTTGTCTGATTTGTCAGTACTTGTCTGATACAATGCACTTTGATTGATTAACTCTCAGTTGTGCATCATTGCGTTCATGCCACCAGCTGTCAATGAACTGTTACAATCTCGTGGTTTTTGGTCGGCGGATCATGGTAGATGCTTCAGATCACAGTGACATGGTTGACTTGCATAGAGTATCGATCCCAAACTTTAATTTTTTTTGTCAATCTCACGTAGTGCTGTGGTTAACTGTATGTCAACCCATTAAATCTTTTGGATGACAATGTTTGATGTGAACAGCCTGAAATCAGGGACCTCATGTGCTCCATGATGCCATCTGTCTGATGAAAGATGTGTCTTGTCATGCAAGCAGTGTAGTCTGAGTTCATATATTTTTCTAATGCAAACCCACAATAGGTGCCCTCGGAGTTGAAGGACTCTGATAGTAAGCAATGTGCCACAAACTCGGTATATTGCATCAGTTTTCCTGTAGATTATATTTTTCAGGTCCTAAATTTGTACCATCTTCATTTGAGTGCATGTACCACATCACATGGTTGACATTTGGCCTTGTAGTTCTTATGTTTACCAGAAGCAACAACTGAATTGTGTTTCTCTTGAGTTGACCTTATTGCTTCTGTTCTTTTGATGTTTACGCAGGAGCAGCGGCTCGTGCATGGACAGCTAACACCTGTACGCTTCTGAATATGAGTCAGTAAAATATCCAGAAGGAAATAAAAGGTGTACAGCTCCCGAGATCGATGAGCAGTACCAATCCCCCTTCCGCGACCAGCCATGTTGCCATCACACGCCATCCGCTGGAGCATGGATGCGGGCTCTCTGAATGGCGGTCCAGATGCAGAGGAACTGACTCCAGGAGTTTAAAAAAGGGGCTTCTTCAGGTCAGACATCATGTTTCAGAATCTCTGGGCTCTTATATCTTTGGTTGCCCCGCGAATTATTGCACGCTTCTGCCAGTTCAATATTGGAGCAGGGTCGGGGTGGGGGCAGTAGTTGCCGCGCACAAAAACTAATGATCCGAAAGATGCTCTATTTCTTAATTATATGCTGAATGTGCACAGTTCGTGCGTGATCACAAACATTATTCTGTGGTGCTCCAGAATTAGTTACTCTTCGCGACGTGGATGGTTTAGTACACCTGCTGTTGGGTGGGCAACATAGGCTGTGGCCGGGGTAGATATATGATGCACAAACCTTGTCTTAAAGGTTCTTTTGAACTCTGTCTCCGATTTCAGCGCCTTACATTGCTTACCTTAACCCTTCCTTGCTCGGCCTGGAACGGTCGACAGGACAGGTTCAGTGTTTGGGCCATAGTTTTTGTTGGCCGAAACAAGAGACAGTGCACCTAGCAAAGTTGCCCGGCTCTTTGAGATGTATCCGAATTAGGCAACCAACTAGCACGATATGGAATCATGAGAGTGAAGCAAGCATGCATGCCCATTGTCTAGAGATCAGCCTACCGAATCAGTATACTAGTCAGGATCTGGATCTTGTTTAGGTTTGAGCATAAGAAAACCAAGCGATAACCGGTGAGTCATCAGGAACGGAGCGGATGAGATCGAGCGAGGTTGTTTAGTTAGCGCCCTAATCCTCCTAATCACTCACACCTGCGTTTGACTTGCTTGGTGGTGGCATTTTCTATAGGTGAGGGTGCTCACCACCATCATCGTCTGCCCTGGGGTCACAGTGCTCGGCTCAATTGCGGCATGTGCAACATGTACTAGTATAATCTGGGGACCCGGGAATCGAATTACAAAACTTGGGGGTTATTGATTGGTTTTGATAGTATTCTGTTCTGCTTCGCGTAGGCCAGCGCTGCGCCACCGGCTCTCCAGATTTGGTTAGATCTCATCCCTTTGTTTTTCTTGCTGTACTTTGTACTTTGCATTGCCTCCTTTTCTTGGGGTTCTATTCTACTCCGTGGGACGGCCCCTCGCTAACCACCCCTGTATATATAAAACCGCTGCTTCCTGTTGCCACCTTGCCCAGCTAAGCCACTTACTTGTCAATCTCCCAAATCAACAGGCATCAGCTTCTTCATCCCCTTCTGCCGCCTCTGCCCGATGTCGACGACGGTGCAGGAGCCGCCGCACGTCCTGGCCGTGGACGACAGCCTCGTCGACCGCGTCGTCATCTCCAGGCTCCTCCGCAGCTCCAAGTACAGAGGTACCACTTCATCCCATTCCATGACTGAATCTGAACTGAGAACTGAGCCTTGAATGAACTGAACTGAAAAAGACTGTTTGTGTTGTGCAGTGACGACGGTGGACAGCGGGAAGAAGGCGCTGGAGGTGCTGAGCCTGGGCCACGAGAGCGTGCAGCTGATCATCACGGACTACTGCATGCCGGAGATGACCGGCTACGACCTGCTCAAGCGGGTCAAGGAGTCGGCGGAGCTGCGCGGCATCCCGGTGGTGATCATGTCGTCGGAGAACTCCCCCACCAGGATCCGCCGGTGCCTCGACGAGGGCGCGGAGGAGTTCCTCATCAAGCCCGTGCGCCCCTCCGACGTCTCCCGCCTCTGCAACCGGGCCATCGCCGCCATGCCCATGCGGTAGCAACGGTCGGTCACGGCGCCGGCGTGTGCCGTGCTGCTGATCGGTGCCAGTCTGCTAGCTTGCTAATCCAGTCCTCCTCCCCCCTCTGTTGAGTTCTCACTGACGAGATAATCCCATGTACATGCGTGATGCGTGTGCTGGTTGCATGGTGAAATCAAAACTGAATGAATTCCATGGCAACCCACGGAATGTATGTATTCCAACTTACCAAGGTATGAAATCCACAACTAATGGTGAAACAATAAAGCCTAGGCCAACAAATGGAAAAGGCCCCATTATTATTATTATCTAACAAAAACCAGTCAAAAAAATATCTGGTTGAGCAATTGACGGAACTGGGTTTATGAAACTTTAATCTTGTTTCAAGTAAAAAAGAAGTCACACATAGCATTTCGATATTATATTATCCTCTGCAACAACCTTGTGTTGTGTGGGCATCGGAAATCCGTTGGTGCTCCTAGGAGCGCACGCTCATGCACGCGATTTTCTTTCAAAGTGTGAAAAAATTCCAAACAAAAATTTGGCGCATACATCTTGACATTATATGTCTGCATGTCAAGTTTCAGAGAAAACCGACATTTTTTGTGGCTTGTGTAAAAAAGACAAGGATGTCTTGTGAAAAGCATTTTTAAACACCAGATTTTGTCTTCTTCACAGGTGAGACGCGACACATAAGTTGTCGGTTTTTCACGAAACGACTTTTGTGAGCATGTACAATATCGAGATGTACGCGCCAAGTTTTTGTTTGAAATTTTTTGACATTTCAAAACATGTTTAAAACACATTTAAAAACCAGGAGCTCGCGCTCCCATGTGTCAACACACCACTCTCGAAAACTAGTTGTATTCAATCGGGGAACTAAGTAAAGGTTGATAGTTAGGAGCAATATATGACTGTATCCCAAGCCTAACCCAACAAGGGATCAAGCCCTAGTAGGTTCGATACCCCGCCTATGTCGACAGCGAGGCCTGTGGTGACTTTGTCAATCCTGAGGGTTTGTGCCTCCAGAGTTCCATGTGTATGCATGTAATTGTCTATGCCGCACTTGGATTTCTCGAAATGTAAATCAAACTATGCGGTCCAGTTGCTTGTTGTTGGAAATGCTAAATAAATCAAATTGGGTCCCGGAAGAACCAACATGTGTCTAGGGGACATTGTGGTATGCTGTGTACCCAGACAAAATTCCAAAGATAACTATCTCCGAGGAAATCGACATATCGTTAGAGTAGGCCGATGCCAATGAGGATGGTTCAGCTGTTTCTAATGTAGACGATAAAAAGCCTATTTCTACCTGTAAAAAAGAGTCTATTCCCGTGCCGCCGCTAATTAATAACCATACGATCTGGATAGAAGGTATGTGTAAGTGTAGAAAGTTTGGACCCGCCGAGTGGAAAACAAGTGTGTTTGGAAGCCTTCGAGTGCAAACTGTAATTACAAGTGGATTGAGGTGTGATGAATATTTAGTACAGTTTCCCTTCTCTGATAAATATATAGATTTTTTTTTGACAAAGGACGGCGTGGCGTGGCGTGCGCCGTCCAAAAACCCCGAGGGGATAATCTCTCTCCCCGCGGCGGCCCATCCAAAGCCCACACGTGGTGTGACCGAGCGATGGGCCCGGCACGTCAGCGCACCTCCCTCGTGCTCCTCGTCCTCCTCCTCCTGGCGGCGGCCATGACTCCCACGCTGCTCACTTGCGCCTCCCACCTCCTCTCCCACTCCGCCCGCCGCCTCGCCCGGAACCCTACCAGCCCCCTCCCCGCCCTCCGCCTCCTCTCCCTCCTCCCCGCCTCCTCCCCGCTCCGCGCCTTCTGCCCCCGCGCCTCCCGCGCCGCCGTCTGCTCCGCATACTCCTCCTCCGCCATGGCGGACGTCGCCGACGCCGACAGCAGCAACAACCCGCTGCTCGCCGACTTCGACTTCCCGCCCTTCGACCGCGTCGAGCCCGCCCACGTCCGCCCCGGGATCCGCGCGCTCCTCGCCCGCCTCGTAAGCCCTCTTATCCCCTTCCCTTGATCCTCGTTCGTTCGCTCGTCGCCCGTGTGGATCTGACCGTGTGTGGCTGCAGGAGGGCGAGCTGGAGGAGCTGGAGAAGGGCGTGGAGCCGGCGTGGGAGAAGCTCGTCCACCCGCTCGAGCGCATCGTCGACAGGCTCGACGTCGTCTGGAACGTCGTCGACCACCTCAAGGCCGTCAAGGACTCCGCCGACCTCCGCGCCGCCGTAGAGGACGTCCAGGCACGTACCCCTCTCACCTTCTTCCGTCGCGCCGCAGCCCGTGATCTGGACGGACGGAGCCGTCCTGGATTAGTTAGCGCATCATCAGATCCTGTCTCTGTATTTTGTCTTACTCCACGAGTTATTATCCAGCAATACTAGTACACAGTAGAAAATTATCATAGATCCTGGCTGTAACCTGTTTTAGTGCTTATTACGACTTTGGTCCGCATGTTTTTTTGTGGGAATATGGTACCACACTAGAGGGTAGAGGCTGACGATCTCTTGCTGTTTCAATCAAGTGCTTGATACATAGCTACCACATATGCTACGCCCCGTGTTGCTTCAACTGATTAACTCGATCGATCTTGAATTTAAACAGCCCGAGAAAGTGAAGTTCTACCTGAGGCTGGGGCAGAGCAAGCCAATCTACGAGGCCTTCAACGCCATCAGGAATTCTTCAGACTGGGACAGCCTCAGCGACGCCCGCAAGCGTGTTGTCGAAGGTAATATTCTCTATACCCATAGTGACACACTGAGTTAATTGTATTGCTGCCAATAAGAAGCAAGCAACGTCGCTGTCTCTCTATACTTACTAAGAGAAGACTCGTGTCAGTTTCGTTGCTTTTATTTCCTGCTTCACTGCACATGTTGCATATGCATTTTCCGTTCCTAATTGTGTTTTTTCTCTTCCTCGCCAGGCCAAATAAAGGATGCTGTTCTTGGTGGAGTTGCGCTCGAGGATGAGCAGAGGGAGAAATTCAATCAAATCCAGCAAGTAGGCTATTTGTTCTTATCAGACGTTGACAGATTATATTTATTGTACATATGCTAAGTGTACCAACCTGACTGGAAGCGTAACGGTACATGTATTGATGGTCTAGCAAGCGAGCCATTCCCTGTCGTATATGAGTCTCTGCATCTTAAAATAATTACATCTATGTTTTTATCTTTGAACCATTGTGGTGGTGACTGCCCATGCATACTTTTGTTGTCACTTATTACGGTGTGTGTAGTTTGTTTTTAGTCTTGTTGCTGATCGCATGTTGTTAGGTACTTCCAATGCCTGACGTAGTACTGTGTTATCGATTATTTTTCATATTTCCGCTTCTTGTTGATGTTAATGGATTGTTTTTTTTCAGGAACTTGAAAAGCTGTCAGAGAAGTTCAGTGAAAATGTGCTGGATGCAACAAAGAAATTTGAGAAATTGATTACTGATAAGAAAGAAATCGATGGTTTACCTGCCTCAGCTCTTGGCTTAGCAGCACAGACTGCTGTTTCAAAGGTGAGCATTATGAAGTGTAAACAAAAATATGGTAGCTTAGGAGTTTGACCCCCCTGCATGATTTTCTATGCTGACAAATTATTTTGTTAGGGTCATGAAAATGCTTCAGCTGAAAATGGACCTTGGATGATCACACTAGACGCACCAAGCTTCATGGCTGTCATGCAACATGCCAAGAACAGGGCTCTCCGTGAAGAAGTATATCACGCTTATCTAACCCGTGCATCAAGCGGCGATCTTGATAACACCGATATCATAAGTCAGATTCTGAAGTTGAGGCTAGAGAAGGCTAAACTACTTGGCTACAAGAACTTTGCTGAGGTGCGCAAGCTTACCATTGCCCTGTCCACATTTAAAACAGTGCCCAGTACTATCGTAGTTTAGCTAACTGATGACAATCATGAAGGTAAGCATGGCTCGGAAAATGGCAACTGTTGACCGGGTGCAAGAGCTTCTTGAGAAAATCCGTGCTGCTTCCTGGGATCATGCTGTCCAAGGTAAAACCAGCCAAGTTCCTTTTTTCTAGCCAGAGTTCCAGATTCCTTTTGCCTATTTTATTAAGATATTCTGGAGTTGTAGTTGCAGAAGATACATTTTGGAGTTTGGACTTCTCTTTTATCATTTATGTTTGATGTGGTGCTTCTTGTTTTTGTATTGCCACCTTGACTCTCTTGAGATCCCGAACAAAAGTAGGAGCAACTATCCGTCACCATCATTATATCTCTCCATTGGCAAATATTTTTCTCATGTATCTTTCTATGAAGGCCAAGGACTAGGCTGAAATACCACAAATATCTTAACTGCTGCTTTTCTTAATGCAGATATGGAAGACCTAAAAGCCTTTGTGAAAGATTCTGGTTCTGCAGAAGCCAATGATCTAGCACACTGGGATCTTAACTTCTGGAGTGAACGGCTGCGGGAATCTAAATATGACATCGATGAGGTTCTTTCTTTACAGAAGTATATTTCAATGTTTTTTTTTGCTGCGATTTGATAGGTTTCTCATTAGTCTGCTTTCGGAACTGTTTCGACTACATTTCCTTGCATTTCTGTTGCTAAGACTTATCCAATATATATTTGCTGAACAAAATTGCTCTGCTTGAAACAAAGTGCTGACATACTGCACATCATAATGATATGTGCCACTGAGCTGACTTGAGCGTTGCCATTGCAGGAAGGGCTGCGTCCTTACTTTGCACTGCCCAAGGTTATGGATGGCCTCTTCAGTCTTGCGAATAAGCTCTTTGGAATAACCGTTGAAGCTGCAGATGGATTGGCTCCTGTAAGTATCCATTCACTTCTTTTAACATAAGTAAATATTCTGCAAATGTTGACCAGTGATCACTCCTTCAGGTTTGGAACAGTGACGTCAAATTTTATTGTGTCAAAGATTCTTCCAATAGCCCCGTTGCTTATTTTTACTTCGACCCATATTCAAGACCATCTGAAAAGCGTGGTGGGGCTTGGATGAATGTCGTCTTTTCTCGTAGTAGTGTGCTAGCTCGCCATGGGTGTTCTGTAAGGCTGCCTGTTGCCCATATGGTGTGTAATCAGATGCCACCAGTTGGCGATAAGCCCAGTCTTATGACCTTCCGTGAGGTAAGCAGTGTACTTGTTATGGTATATTATTCTGTGTATTCTTATACATATAAAAAAAGTTATGATTACGTATGCATGCTGTAAGTATATAGAAAGATCATCTATCCATATTATGGTTTGTAAGAATTTGCACATGGCTTCTGTAGGTTGAAACCGTGTTCCATGAATTTGGTCACGCGCTGCAGCATATGCTTACCAGACAAGATGAAGCCTTTGTTGCTGGTATCAGTGGAATAGAATGGGATGCCGTAGAGTTACCCTCTCAGTTCATGGAAAACTGGTGCTATCACAAGTACGATGGCTCTATTTTGTTCGGTTTGGCTTGGGTCTTGCCTGGTTCTGGTAATTAATGACTTGTTGCATTGGTGTAACAGGAATACTCTTTTGAGCATTGCAAAGCATTATGAAACCGGTGAACCTCTTCCAGAGGAAATCTATGCTAAGCTTGTGGCTGCAAAGAATTTCCGTGCTGGCACCTTCAGTCTCCGTCAGGTATGTTGGCTTGGGCTCTCATGCTTTCCTTGTTGTTATCATTATTTGGTATTGTTTTGTAATGGTTACATTGCATATCGCAAATTTCACCGTACGTCCTTAAACTTGCGTGCTTGGGTCAAAGGTCGATGAACTTGATGACTAGACATATATGCAATCAGACCATTATAACTGATTTAAATTTTAGAAACAGTTACTTGAAATGGAATGTTTATGGCTTGAAAACTGTTGTTTGTAAGATAGGTGGGATGTTATATGCACATGTTTTTGAAACTATTTACTTTAATTCACCCGTCTGCAATTGTTTCCAGGTGACATTCACCACTTTGACATATTTTTAACCACTTCTACATGTTTGAGGAACCTGACACATGATTGAGTGAACGCTGCGATCTTATGTGTTTTTTCTGACTATTTGCTGTTATTGATCTGTGTTGTTTTCATCGTCTTTTTATTTAAATAACTAAATGTTTGTCTGCAGATACGTTTTGCAAGTGTGGATATGGAACTGCATACAACTTATGATCCAAGTGGACCAGTGTCCGTGTATGATGTTGACCGAAGGGTTGCAGAAAAAACCCAGGTTCTTGCTCCTCTGCCTGAGGACAGATTCCTGTGTGGATTCAGCCACATTTTTGCAGGTTTGCCACGCTTTGACTAACATGTAAATTCATCCGATTCATCATGGATTTTGCTTCTCATTTACATCATGGGCTATGTGCAGGTGGCTATGCAGCTGGATACTACAGTTACAAGGTAGATTGTCATAGCACATCTGAATTTCTGTTTGTCCTGACCCCTGATGGTGAACACGACTAAAGCTTGTATCTTTTCGTGTCCTCTCTGCAGTGGGCTGAAGTACTATCAGCTGATGCATTCTCAGCATTTGAAGATGTTGGTCTGGATAATGAGAAGGTATGTTGTCCGCTCGCTCAGAGGAAACTGAGACTACTAGCCTGTGACTGAATCTTGTCTTTTTTTCTGTTACTTGTTCGCTCAACTTCATTTGATTATCTTGCCAAATGTATGTATTTCCATACTGAATCCACCCTTGCATGATTGCAAAATAAAAAACACGATGATTTTTCAATCTTGCTGATGAATACCCTGTTCATTGTTTGCAGGCAATTGAGGAGACCGGCAGACGATTCAGAGAAACGGTTCTTGCACTTGGAGGTGGAAAATCTCCTCTCGAGGTTAGTCGTCGAGCTACTTTTGAAGTATATCTTCTCCATGGTGTTAGAGTTGTTGGAAGACCGCTACCGACGCCGGAATTAAATTTTTTTTTTTGCAGGTTTTCGTTGCTTTCAGAGGACGGGAGCCGTCGCCGGAGCCACTGCTCAGGCACAACGGCCTGCTACCTGTCGCCGCATAGGGTGTCGATCGCTCCTTTTTTTCTTTTTCATTCGCCGCACCAACTTTTAGGAGTTTTTATTTCCATGTGAAGTCTGAAACAATACTGTTGTTGTAATTAAATTAAAAGTAGTTATTTTCAATCACCATTAGTTTGCGTATGAGCTTGTGGCTAAATACAAAGAGTACGTATCCCGCACCACGGAAGAAAGTGCCACGCTCTCCTCGGTGCACTTGGCCGACCTCCACCGCCGGCGAGCTCAAGCTTTTCTTCGCCGATAACAAGGATGCTTGGCAGCCCGGTGATGGTGCGGTCAAGAAACTCATGCCCAACAATTTTCACCAGTTCCCGACTCCCATGACCAGACCTCTTGACGGCCTCGTCCTGATCCGATGCGCCGACGACGGACGGCTACCATGTCTGCAACCCTAGCACCGGCGAGGTCTTGGCTCTCCCCGACACCAAATTCCCGTCCAAGATGATTTTCCGGTATTTGCCCGAGATACCATACTATCAGTTTGTGGCGTACGGCCTTGGTTACTGCTGGGTGACACACGAGTATAAGGTGGTGCGTGTGTTCAGCACCGCCTACGAGGGCGATGAGTACAGTCCGGTCCGTCGTACTGGAGGCCTACCGCGCAACAGCCTCACGCGTGCATTCTGGACGAGGAGAACCTCAACGGGTGTGTCTGCACTAACTTTGTATTGATGATGGCATCATTACTTTCAATGTTACCGGCGAGACCTCCGACTCGGCGCTAGCACCGCCCTATTTGGTTGATACCCCGGCCAAAATGATGACGGAGCTAGATGGTTGCTTGTGTGTCTGCTATGGTGGTAAGGATTACGCTCATGGCATGTACTATGTGTGGATATTGAGAAATTACGGGCAACAAAAGTGGGAAGGTTATGTTTGGTACAGGCACTTCCAACGTGTTTTTTTTTTTCAAGAACATGCAGGAGCGATGCATGTCTTTTTAATTAAGAAGAGGAGGAAACGGCATGAAATTACCCTAGACGTCCCTAACCCCGGGGCACCGGAGATCCTATTTTGCCCCGAGGAGGCAATTGGCTGCAGCTTTGACGACTACTGTGAGCCAGTGCTAGGTCTGGGATACATTGAGAGAATGGAGTTTCAAAATCTCAACGATGACACTTTCTATGCGGGTCGCATCGCGTTGGGCTACGACTGCGAGAATGATGAGCATGTTCTAATGCGTATGACCTACAAAGAGAATACCAACTTGAATGCAGCTTGCGGTATGTGGAAGAACAAGAATGGCATTCATTAGATGCTCCTCCTAGACCAGTAGCTAACATCCAACCAACCTGTATCGATGGCAAGATTTTCTGGACGGTGGAGCCTAACCTCGGGCCAGTTTCTCTACATTGTGAAATCATCACATTCGATGTCGAGGAGGAGGAATTTGAGGTTCTTCCAGGTCCTCCATGCGGCAGCCATGGCAACGGGCATCTTTTCATCCTCGAGCTCCAACGTGCGCTTTGCGTGGCTTGTTCGGACAAGACCATGAATGTGATCTCCATATGGATGATGAAGGGCGTTGGCTTCTGGTTAAAGGAATATCATATAGATTTGGAAGAGTTCTCGCCTGAGTATTCGTCTGAGTGGACTACACCTTTGGCCATTGATCTAAAAGATGGACGGATTTTGCTCAACACGGGCTGGTCATTGGGATACTATGACCCCAAGACGGCGTCGATGGAGACCATCTGCAGAGTGGGCATGCCTGGGGATTACTTCAAGTTTTGTCCTGTTATCTACCATGAAAGTTTAGTCAATAGGTTCGGGTCACAACCCTAGATTATGTATTTCTTATATTTTGTCCTTGAGTGGATTTAATTTTCCAAGACCCTTTTTCCGGTCATTCTATCTGGCTCGTATGGTGCAAAAAGTGGGCGCTGCACATCTCCTTCATTTGGGGTTATTCCATTGTTGAGTAGTACATTACTTCCGCCACACTTGTGCGATATCTCCCCTTCACGGACATATCATTTCAATTTAGAGGTGAAGGCACGATGGCTTGCTCACTGTTGTTACGTAGCTCCTCGGTCAATGATTTGTTAATTTTCATTTGTCGCACCCCATGTTCCTAGGAGTTTTATGCGATGTCAATGAAACACTAAAACTTTTCCAACTACTTATTTTTTGTAGTTTCCAACCAACTAGCCAAGTGGCCTTGCAAATCCGAGGGCATTGTTTAAATGTGTTAAAGGTGTATGGAAATCAACTTACAATTTAATAATATTCATATTACACGGTCAGTAATAATGTGATTCCATAGCCATTGAGAATATTATGATAAAATAAAATGCCACGTGTAATTGAACTATATTTGTTCAGCTTTAATTTTTGTACGCATAATTATGACATTCCATTTCCAAAAAGAACAACATATCTACAGCCGTGTGTGTATGTACGTGACCATGTGTGCTGTTATTTTTTGCGGGCTTGGTGAGCTGATGCCCCAAGTATCTCTATTCCTAATGGAGCAGTTGGTAGTCTCCGCCGGTCAATTTTCGTCCCACCAAAGACGGATTTTTTTTTTCGCTGGTTTTTTTCGTCATCTCCCCACCCCACCTCACCACACCCCACGCACGCACCCCCAAGAAAACCACCCCACAGGAGGAACGTCGTTCCTCTCCATCCCCTCCCGCCGCCGCCGTCGTCCTCTCGATCCCCTCCCGTCGCCGCCACCATCCTCTTGATCCCCTCGAGTAAGCGGCGCCGCCGCCATGGTCTCTCGATGCCCTCGAGATCGCTGCGCCGCCATCGTCTCTCCATCCCCTCGAGATCCCAGATCCCACACCGCCACCGCCGGCGCCTCCTCCGCTGGCGACGCGGCGAACGAGAGACAAGGGGAACGATGGTCTCCACCGTGGCGGAGGAGGGCGAGGACCCGCGCTGGAGGAGGAACAGCATGGGTGCGTATTTTTCTCGTCTGCAGCAGCAACCTCACTAAGGTGACATACCACGCAAACCCCTTCCTCGCTGAGTTTTTGTGACTCCTTGCCGGTGAATGGCAGTTGGATGCCTCCACGCAGCAACCCATTGTGACTCCTCGCTGAGTTTTTGTGACTCCTTGCCGGTGAATGGCAGTGGAAGAGAACCCATAGCAACTGCAGAAGAAAAGAAGTTGGAATCCGAGAGATCTGGAGAGCTTAGTGCAAAAGTAAATCAGGCAAGCCCTTTTCCTCTGAAGAAGGTTGTCTGCACTCTGCACTACATAATTTTTTACAACTTTATTGTTCACATTTATGTTATGATAATCTCCTCTAGAATTGTTTGGATGCATTTTCTTCCAATTTTATGGGCTCTAGCTTAATTACCTTCTGAATTCTTCTGATGGCTTCTCAATGATATTCAGTTTATATTGAGACGAACGAATGCCCTGCTGTCCAATCACTTGCCACCAAAGGTATGTCCTGTCCGGTGTATATTTGGCCAGATATGTTCATCGCACTATCAGAAAACACAAAAAGAATTGTGTACCTGCTATCCATTTTGTCTTTTATAGTGATTCTTCCTTCTTTTTACATTATATAATTGTGCCTCATCTACTTTACTTAACCCTGCTTATGTATAGATTGTTGAAGTAGTGTGCTGCAAGCTGACTTCCTTACAGATGACACTGTACAACCACTTCACACACTCCAAAAATGTAAGGAAATTCTGTACCGTTCTGAGTTTCAAGCAATATTCAGTAGGCACATGTAAGGTGGTCAGAGTTATATTTACAGGAGTCTGTGGTTAACCCTGTCAGGTTAAGCGCTTGATATCTGAAGAAGCAAAGAGTACTAAAGTTTTGGCATATATTACTGCTCTTAAGAAATTATGCAACCATCGAAGGTAATTAATTCCAGTTTAATGTTTCGCCCCACGATATATCTCTTTCATTGGAAGTAGTTTTGACAGTAGGATCAGAGTTTATTACAATCTTTTTTTAATTAGTTAATGTGCGCACCTTGCTAAACCCCAACACATTGAGCTGTCTCGTCTGGCTCCGCCGCTGCACTTGGTCGATGTCCTCACCTGGCATCATGACGAGGTGGTGGCCGGTGGGTGGCGTGAGGAGCGGCAACATACTCGTTTATCTTGTTTACCAGTGTCTACATATTCTGTTAGGAAAAACATCATCTAAGATGCAACTTTTGATGAAAGGAGTTGTATTTTTTTCTTTTATATTTTTGCTGGAAAGAAGGAGCTCTAACTTAAAGAGCATGTCAACATAGCTACATCCAAATACTTTGAATGCATGCTTCAGCGAAGTAATCTCATAGATGAAGCAGCCTGAAAATTGCAGAATTTTAGCCAAGAGAACAAGCGAGCAAGACATGCAACTGAATGTTAGATAGGAATGCTTGCCTAGCAAAAATATGTCAGACTTGGAGCCATACGGAATATCAGCAATAAGTTCAGGGCACATGTAACTGGGAGTTCCTACAACCTTCAGAAGAGACACGATTTATTAAATCATAAGAAAATTAGAAAGAGAAACACCTACCTAGGGATTGAGCAAGAATAACTTACTGACTGTAACGCCCTCGATGCGGCTATAGCTCCCACGTGTCGAGGCACGACTTAGAGGCATAACCGCATTGAAAGCAATGCCGCAAGTTAGGAAATCTTCACAACATCCCATGTAATATAGATAATAAAAGGGGAGATACATAGTTGGCTTACACTCGCCACGTCAATCAAAGTACATAAATAGCATTACAACATTCAAACACTCATGGTCCGACTACGGCGCCAAAATGAAAGATAAACCCAACATGCAACACGGTCCCGATCACCCCAACTGGGCACCACTACTGATCATCAGGGAAAGACACATAGTAACGGCGTGAGTCCTCGTCGAACTCCCACTTGAGCTCAAGCGCGTCATCTGGAACGGAATCATCAGGCCCTGCATCTGGTTTGGAAGTAATCTGTGAGCCACAGAGACTCAGCAATCTCGCACACTCGCGATCAAGACTATTTAAGCTTATAGGTAAGGCAA